TTAATTGTAAATATAATAAAATGTATTTTTATTATACTTCATCTACATTTGTATGTTACCTATTGGAATATGTGCTGTTTTCATTATTCAAACAAAGTTATATGATTATTAATGAAGAATTTAACCAATTGAATAGATTTTAAAACATTATACATCATTATTGTTCTTCGAATGAATCAATTAAAATAAATATAGAAAGTAAATTACTGTTTTAGCTGTTGTTTGTAAAATATATTCTGTAGGGCGTACCTAGTAGGTATTATACATATTAATATTATATTATCTATTTACTTCATTTAATATAGTATATCTGTATATTACACTAAATATATAGGTAGRTACTCTAATTATTATACAAGTTTAATTTTGGATAATTAGGTGGATAATATTAAAAACAAAAATCTTTGTTTCTTTATAAAATATTATTAAATTGTAAAGCATCAAAAAGTTATTACTTTATTAGTAATCGGATGTACCTAATTCAAAAACCTTTTTATAAGCATCCAGTTATTGAAGAAAATATAAATGAGAAAAAGGTAATAATAACAAATAAATCATTATTTTTTTTATAAACTTACCACAGATGAAAAAATAGTTTCCACTCTTTGTTTAGGATTGCTACCTTTTTTTGTTCGGAGTAGCAAATAAATTCTTTCGATGTCTGGACATTTTCTTAAAAGCTTTTCGACTAAAACCTTTCCAAGAAATCCCGATCCACCGGTAATAAAAATGGTTTTACCAACAAAACTATTGGAGACTCGATCCGGAAGATGACTTAATTCATCTGGAAGCACAGGTGGCTTATAATTTAAGAAACCTTCTTCGAACGAAGCCATTTCTGAAACAACAAATAAATTATTAATAATCTTTGGGTTACGTATATAATATTAATTACATTATTATATTAAATTATACATGAAAAACATTAATTTGCTAGTAACCAAATGGTTAAATACTTCAGTACTTGAGTGACAGGTGAGTATTTTATTCGTCATCTTTAATATTTTGYGGTGGTTAGCAAACAGAAAAGAGCACTTTTTAAACTAATTATCAAGGTTTCTATCTCCAAGGTTTAAAACGRTATATATTTTCGTATTAATATATAATCACCAAAAAGAAAATTTCTCATAATTTATTTAGACTCATCATTATGATTATGTTTTGTAAGACTAAAACGTATAGCGAATAATAAGCGAATATAACCACAATTATTCATGAAACGAGACACTTGACAACAAAAGATCAAAAACTAAATAGTACTATATAATTATAATCTAGCAATGCGTAATATTTTTGCAAACAATTATTTGTAGGTATGTAGAWTTAACGTATGCTCAATGCTCATGTTAGTTATTGTAATATTGTTAGATACAAAATTATTAATATGCAAATTATCGAATGAAACTAGAGGAAACATATATCAAAAATCATTTTAAACAAAATAATTTAGACCAAAGTACTATATTAATCTACATATAGTTCTATACATTTAAAATGTATATAAATGAGCAAAAGAGTGCGCTCGTGTTCACCTAAACCTTTTTTTGGTCCCCAGTGACTGCCAAACATTTTCCCCAAAAATTAAGATTTGTAGATAGTTGAAAAAATTAATTTTTTTTTTTWAATTTAATAATCCTAATTCCATCAATTAATTAGRAAATGCGTTTTAAATTATAATTTATATCAACATCAAATGTATAAATAACTTTTGTTTTTTGCGTTATCGGCTTGAGTTTAGATGAATGAAAATAATTTGTATACCTACTTACTGTGCAATGATCATTGTTACAAGCCCACAAACACTACTTAAATATGTTTCTAGCCTTCTAGGTACCAAATTAATTCAATATTAMGAGTAAGTAATACAACTAATATAAAATGGGCAATTAGAAGGCTCTGCAATAAAAGCACCTAGTTATTGAGCAAGTCACTTGTCAATTAATAAATGTTTTAAATATGAATTCAGAGATAAATCATCGTATWCAATGCTAGATAGTATGGTGTGCTGATAATTTTATTAATCTAATATGACGCCTACAAAATAATTCACGAGTCATAATTTTGACGGATTTCGTCAACTTTTAAAATTCAAAACTAATAATAAACTTGTAAGAAAAGTATCGAGGAAATTTTATTTAATGTCTAAGCTCAAAAATCATATCATACATAAGTTAAATAAAAACTAAATAATGACAAAAAATTCACATGCCTATAAATAGCTAAACAAAAACCAAAGTATTTTTTTTTCTAATTTATACTGTCTTGGAAAGTTGTAAGTGCGTATTTTGTAAATATTTTTATATTATTGCAAATCTATGGTTTTCGCTTTTTAGTTCCATAAAAAGGATAAAATATCGATTTCACTAAGAATTTCCATTTCCCACCTAATTTTTAATTTTTTTTATTAATTTGAAAATCCGGATAAATTATTTACTTTAGACACCTCCAAAGTTCAAAACTACCAATCAGATAAAATCGTTTACCAGAAACCACCCTCAAATTTKATGACAGGAACATTTTGTCTAACACTAAAATATAATTATTATGGTACTTAAAAAATCCTAGCTTATTAATTAACATCTTAGAATATGAAACTGTATCGATAAATCATATATTCAAGTTAGAAATTATATCAGAATATAWTGTCATAAATATGTTTTCTATATAGTTACGTTGAGCATCATAATATTCAGATGATATATATTTTCAATTAGATATAATTCTATAAATTAGTGAATACCAATGATAATATCGTACTATTAATAATAGCATGAAAGTAGTTCTGTCTTAATGCTTTAACTTTCACTACCAACCTATTATTTCGTTACAGTCTTAACTCATAAGAAYTAAATAACATTGCACAATTATCAATTTGTATTAATCGAAAAAAAAAATATAACTCAATTTTCGTAGAAATCGAATTTTTTTTATATAGATTGTATAATAATGGTTTTATACCCATTTTTTTTAAATGTAAAAATAGCTTATTTCCTATTAAAATCTATATTTGACGTCAATTTAAAATAATGAAATATGTGGTAAGTTCAAAATATTTGATATGGGTAAACAAAAACAGGGTAAAGTTAAATACTAARAAAAATCACAAATATATTATCACTTAGAAAATAACGAAGTTACTACGGCTTATGTTCATAGGTTGAAGAAAAATTGACGTGACAAAAACTTAAGTCACATTTTACAAATTAGTTAATGATGATATTTTAGTATATTATTTTTAATTACTTAACTAATATTGTTAAGATTGTKAAGAATAATATGGTCTTATAGTCATTATAGTTTATCCTTATCATTTATTATCATGATAATACGATCAAACGCATGGTTTAAAATATACTTATATACTTTGAAGGTTTGAACTTTGACAGTACGCGCTCTGGGCGTTGGTTAATAATCATTACAATTAGAGATCATAATATTATAATTTGAATG